GTCCTTTCCAACCTAGTGATTCTGTGAATTAGTTATACTGTACTATAACAGCTTTAATTTGAGTAAAGAAAGCAAGTTTCTAAAGATGGAAAAAGATGGAAGAAGCTAATGAACTGCTTAAGATAAATGACTAGAAACAGAACACAGTCACCACAATGAAGTCTAGCCACAAATGAAAAATACCAAGAAGTAGAAAGGTCTTTTTCATGGAGGCTCTCTTTCCTTGCATATATTTGAGTCTTTTTTTCTGTAGTGATGCTTGCTAAGATTTCTCAAGGACCAACGCAATTATTAGAGGTTGTCTTAGCTATGGATCTCAATGCAGGATTGTCATAATTTCTGTAAGTTTCTTGTGAATATACTTAAACTTTCCCCATTTGGTGCTCCAGCCATCCCACTGCAAAATTTCACATTATAGAGGATGAGAAGTTTTATGCATTAGCCTCTACATTACATATGCACAATTTTCATAGAAAAGCGGAGAATTATGTGAAATTGTAACATCTAGTGACTCATGGAAGATTAAAACAGGATTTTTTTTTAGCAGTATGTGGAATAAAAACATTTACTTTCCACATTGAAGATGGCAGTTTTGAACTGATATAAACTGCTATGCTCAGCATAACCACTTTTTGTGTGTATAACATACATGTTCCTATGAGAAATCCATTTCTATAAACTAAACTATTACAGGAATCTAAGATTTCAGCTAAATATAAAACAGATTAAGGACAGCAATTTTTCTCAGTCATGCACATGTTTTCAAGGCAAAGCTGACAGATCACATGGCAAACAAATCTGAAAACTCTGTAGTACAGTATAGTGTGGAGCTATTTAGATAAATCACAACACAGTGGTGTTGTAGACACAAATGTTGTACAAGAGGCCAGTTACACCTATATTTTAAAATTACACTATTCTTCCTTGGCTTGGAATTTTGCTAGTGTCCCATATGTGTACTGTAAGGAATAAAAATGCAGGCTGTAAAATAGGAAAAAATGGACATAAAATTTGCTCAATCACCATTATTAATTTTGCACTAAATTTCAGATTAACTGTATAATCTGCATTACCATAATTATTATTACCAACATCATAGTTGCAGCCAAAAATTTATTTGATTAACTTGGTTTTAAAGTGTGGTATGACTGGAAGTATAGACAAATTTAGAGCAAAAATACACCGCAGTTTACGGTACAGGCAATGTCAAATGATTGTGATAAACTTTGAAATTGCTGTTATTGCTGCATGAACACACTATTAGACAGTTTACAACCACACGATGTAACTTGGGGTTCAGAGAAGCGGTTTAAGAAAAACAAACAAAGAAAAAACCAAACATTGTGTAGTTTTAGGTCCTTGGAAAGCCAGTATCAAGTGTTTCATAGAACTGATCTTCTCAGGACAGAATACAGACCTGACAACTAATACACACAGTAAAATCAATACAACGCTGCAGTAATGTTTCTCACAGGTGCCTTGAAAATGACTGTTCACTAACTTTATAAATAAGGCAACAAGGTTAAGAAAATGCCTGTTGATAGCAAGGGTAAAGTGACATCCTTTTGAGATGTTTGATAGAGCTTTAATTTCAGGACAGCCACAGCAAAACAGCTGAATGGTCCAACAGCTGAAGTTCCTTTAGGTTACATACATAGCCTGCTGCTAGGGTAAGTTCTCCTGTTCCTATTTATAAAAGTAAATGGCAAGACGTGAAATCTCCTGTTATAAAAGTTAACACAGTACATGATCTATTACATGACAGCAGCAATGCATAACTACACTTAAAAAAACCCCAAAACACATAGTACTTTTTGTCTTTCACGACAGGAATGGTGAATGGAACATGCTACACAAAGGACAGGGATTGTGTATTTCTCAAACACAGTGTATGTCATACTAGTAAAAATGAAATGTTAGTGAAAATTCAGTTTTATTAGAATTGTAATGGGCTGACTTTACCATAATATCCTATGGAGTTTCTAGATGGTACAAGGCTATTTGTGTATCTGTACTGACATAACTCTTAGTACTGTGATATCATAAGAGTAGCTGCCTGCAGCCATTAGTCATGAAGTTTAGAATTACTTCTAAGTATTCACTGCAGAGGAAGTTGTAACTGTCCTTTAAAAAAAAAAGTACAAATATTTTTGCAGCCACTAAAGGCAATAATAAAAACCACCAAGAGATGCATGATTTTCACAACTGAAGTAGCAGTATGTATAAGTGTTTTGATCTTTTTTTAAAGGCTGTTTACAGTAATCAAAAGCCATTTTAAACCAAGAGAAAAATAATTTTAAGTAAGAAAATACAAAATATTGTTTCTTATAATAAATGATAAAGTATAATGAACTTGGTTCAGCATAGCTAAATATTATTTTAAAAAAGTATGAAAATGTCTACTTTAAAAAGGTGTAAGACTATAAATAAGCTTCTAAAAAGATGCTGCAATATGTCTTGCTACATGTACCATGGCTGGAAACAAACACATTCTTGAACATGTACTGAATTGATCTCTTATTTTTCATTATGTTGTAGTCACTTGTTATTTTTCATACTGACATACACTTCTTCAAACTAAGAAAAAAACCATCTTAGTTGCACGTTACTGAATTTCAGCTACTGTAGTGCAAGTAGGAATTCTGCTCATTCTGGAACATCACACTGCTACATAGCAAGCTTCTCTGCAAGGAGCTATTTAATTGATTTTTCAAGCAGATGATATATTCAATGCAGTGAAAGGGAGGTTTTATAGCTGGTTTGATGTCTCAGCCAAATCCCAAAGTTACTCTAACAGCAAGTATTCTCCCAATTCAAAATGCCCCCTCACTTAACTGGCCACACATTACTAATGCAAATATAAAAAGTGCTTAAGAATTGGGCATTCTTGATTATATAAAATGCACATCTGAACAACTTAGCTTTCTGCCTAAAAACGAATTTTTGGAACAAATTAAAGAAGGAAGTAGCCTGAAAATTAACATTTCATGCCATTTTTTCACATACTGAATCATTTGCCAAAGAAAGACTATTTCTTTGCCGAAGAAAGCCTCCTGTGGAACTGATAGTCAAAACTGCTGGTGCTGAATTTTCAGAAATGAAGAGGAAAAGTAATCATCTTCAACTGGGGTTTCTTTTCTCACTTCAGTGGCTGTGAATCACCTGTTTGGGGGGGAGGGAAGGAACAGCTGAAAAGCTAAATGGCTATACAAATACTCTCTGATCAACATATTCGGCAATTCCAACATGCAATACTGATCACTGTCTTTAAAAGCCTTAATTCTCTTTGTTCCCAGAGTAATGACACTTTAACTCTGGAGCCAGGACACACAGAGTATGACCAAGTCTTTTTTTGCCTTTTGGTATTACTGGCAATGGACACAGATTAGAGCTTGAAGAGGCCTGAAATACTGGATTAGGAGACTATGGAGAGCAAAAGCTCGCTTCTTCACCCAGTTACACTGTCCGTCACTCCCAGGAACCCAGGCTTCACATTACAGAATCACAGAATCATTAAGGTTGGAAGTCCTTTCCAACCTTGGTGATTCTGTGACCTTTAAGATCATCAAGTCCAACCATCAACCCAACACCACCATGCCCACTAAACTATGTGCCACATCTACACGTTTTCTGAATACTTCCAGTGATGGTGACTCCACCACTTCCCTGGGCAGCCTGTTCCAATGCTTGACCACCCTCTCAGTGAAGAAATTTTTCCTAATATCCAATCTAAACCTCCCCTGGCACAACTTGAGGCCATTTCCTCTCATCCTATCACTAGTTACTTGGGAGAAGAGACCAACACCCTCGTCGCCACAACCCCCTTTCAGGTAGTTGTAGAGAGCGAGGAGGTCTCCCCTCAGCCTCCTCTTCTCCAGACTAAACAACCCCAGTTCCCTCAGCCGTTCCTCATCAGACTTGTGCCCCAGACCCCTCACCAGCTTCGTTGCCCTTCTCTGGACACGCTCCAGCACCTCAATGTCCTTCTTGTAGTGAGGGGTCCAAAACTGAACACAGTATTCAAGGTGCGGCCTCACCAGTGCCGAGTACAGGGGCACAATCACTTCCCTCCTCCTGCTGGCCACACTATTACTGATACAGGCCAGGACACTGTTGGCCTTCTTGGCCACCTGGGCACCCTGCTGCGGGTCCCTTTCTGCCAGGCAGCTCTCCAGCCACTGTTCATGGGATTCATATGAATCCCAAGTTCATGGGATTCATATGAGTAGCAGAACTATAAATTATATTTGTATATTTACTGTTTATAGTCTAGAAATTCAATTAAGTCAGAGTGTTTACAGATTGAAACCAAGCTATCAAAGAGTCAGTCACACAGGGTAACCAATGAGTTTAGCAGTCAAATCTAATCGTCTTTCACTTGGAGCTATTCAGTCTGAAGTGATAAACATGCTAAATTTTTACAAGGTCAGAAGTAATTAGAAAAAAAGTACAGGGTGTGTCTAAGAGAGATTGTGCCACTTTGTTACTTAAAAGCTTTTTAAAGTGTTTTGGTAAGCTGCAAACAGTCCCTTCAAATTTACTAAATAAAATAGAGCTTTTAATATAGAGCTTTTTTATAGGAGCAGTCCTGTCACTATTCAGCAAAAGTATTCAAACAATAAGAGGCCAAAATGTTGCCTAAAAAATGTTTTCCTTACTATAAACTTTAAATTCCTTTGAAAAGTCAGTGATACTAAATTCATATGTGCATGTTTTACCACGTTGGACGTCAGACAGTTTAGTCACATTCATACTAAGTCTCCTAGAATGCATAAACTGAGGCTCAGCAACTACTGCTATACAAAAAGTGTTGAAGAAATATTTTTTTTTTAGGTTAATTACAGGTTAATTTTCCCAGTCTGTGCAAGGCAAACTCTCCTCTTCATCCTCTGATTCAGGTGATGCTTCCTTAATTCGTCGCAATGCTTCATGGATGCTCCTTGTCAGAGGGTCAGTATCAGGCAGAATTGTAAAGGATTCTCTCAAAACATCCTTCTGCACTTTCTTCAGTTTCACCCCTTTCCTGATCTGTGCCAAGATGTTACTGCTATCATCTTCATCGGGAAAAGGAGGGAGACTTCTCTGCTCAACTTTTCTTAAGTGAAAGCTGCCACGCTTCAAGGAATCCAACACTTCATCCATTGGGGAACTCACTGCAGAAAAATCAAAAGACCTTCAGTATTATTTTTACGGAATTAATTCAGTTGTCTTTTGTATTTCCTACAGACCAAAAAGTAGCCACATGCAATTAATGTGATAGTCCCATACCATAAGTATAAAGGAGAGTGTAGTATTTTCAATTTTATCATTCTGTAGCTCTATTATTGCTTTAGCCTCCAAATTTATCTTCCCTATTACCAGGTCAAAATTGGATTATACAGACAATTATAATTTCTGAAACCAAGTAACCTCCTATCAGGCAGGTAGCAGAACTTTTTGAACAAGGCAGCATTCCTGTTTGCACTCAAGAAATTAGAGACAGCTGCAATGAATCCAACATAATGAAAATGTATATTACATTATATTTCTTGACTTTGAAAATGATAATGAGCATGCATCTTAAGTATTGAACTGATCAGTCACAGAAATGCAAGCACAGAAGAGAGACTACATTCTCAGCACTTGAATTTTGTGGCTGATTTTACCTACTGTATGACTTACTACATGCCAATGAAGGAAGCAGCAGTACAGTAAACTGCAACAGCATGCATTTTCCTGCTCCTCTGGATTCATGTATGTATCAACACCTAGTCACAGCATGCCTATATAAATTCCCTTCCTTTAAAATTAATGAAAACAGAGAAGAAGGAGTTAATACCTTATCACAAATCCTTCCTTTATCACCAGTTTGAAATTAGTTCTCTGCAGAAATAAAAATCAGGCTTTCACTCTTTGAAGAGGTACAAGTAGGTAAGATGTCCTGGTTTCAGCTGAGTAGTCGAGGACAGTCCAGCTTCTCGTGCTGGCCTGAAATAATGGGTGGATGCTGTCCTGGTTTTGGCTGGGATGGAGTGTTTTTTTTCTTCCCGATAGCTGGTATAGTGCTGTGCTTTGGAGTTGGTATGAGAATGATGTCGATAACACACTGAAGTTTTAGTTGTGGCTAAGTAGTTGTAGTGCTTGTACTAAGTCAAGGACTTTTCAGATTCTCATGCTCTGCCAGTGAGGAGGTGCACAAGAAGCTGGGAGGGGGCACAGCCAGGACAGTTGACCCAGACTGGCCAAAGAGATATTCCCTACCATATAACATCATGCCCAGTACATAAACTGGAGTTAGTCAGAGGGTGGGAATCGCTGCTCACCGGGTGGTGAGCAATTGCTGTATTGGGCATCACTTGTTCTTGTACATTCCTTTGTCGGTATTATTATTGTTGTTATCATTGTTGTTTCCTTCTCTCTTGCTGTCCTATTAAACTGTTTTTATCTCAACCCATGAGTTTTTTCCCAGTTCTCTCCCCTGTCCCACTGGGGAGGGGGGAGTGAGCTAGTGGCTGGGTGGTGCTTAATTGCTGGGTGGGGCTAAACCATGACAATCACCAATTTGAAACTAGTTCTCTGCAGAAATAAAAATCAGGCTTTGTCTCTTTGAAGAGCTATAAGTAGGTAAGATCTCTATGTTGGAGAATGCAATATAATAAAGCTCCCATACACTAGCACATACAATGTGCAGCACAGATTGATCAATAGATGAATATCCATCTCAGTTTTTTTGCATATTTTGTATATTTGTATATTTTTAAAACCTGTTTTGCATTTTTGAGTGGTCTTTGTTCATCAAACTAATGGCCCATACAGTTGGAATAGACACGAGGAAAAGAGAGAAATAAAAGAAGAAAACAGGACTGCACATTTGAAGGAGGAAGGAAGGATTGTAAAATACTCATCTGTCAGAGACACAAATTTATGAAGCCACTTAGAGACTTGGAACATCTCAGGAAATACAGAGCAGCAGGTAGAGTGCTGTTGCAGATATTAATGATGCTCTTAAGAGGGAGGATATAATTTGATCTTATATTTGTCATTTTATGATGTATAATCAAATTGCAAAGACAATACATGTTTTATATAAAATTGAAAAATAAAATAGGTATCAGAAAAATAAACAATAGGACTACAGAAAAATAAATATGGAGCAGCATCAAAATTGATAATGAACTTAATAAGACACTGTACCTGCGACTTGCAAGAATCATAAGACCTTAAAAATTCTATAACTATTCAGTTGATTCAAGGTTTTTCAGTCATTTAAGGACAATTCTAGAAGAAACACTCCTTGTTTCTACCTGATAGACAAAAACAGTTCTAATTTTGATTTTATCTGGATGAGGGAAAATGCCAATTGAGGGATGTTTTCTGTAGTTGTAACTGACAGAGCCAGACAGAACTTTTAATAAAAGGTTATTACAACCATATTACAGTAGTGTGAACGAAGGCCCACCTGAGGTACTTTTCTCAGTGACTTCCAGTAAAACAGTTCAGCTGTGCACTTTTGAAAATCCCATCTCTGATTTTCAAATAAAAGCTTAGCTCTAATATAGCATGTTTCATCGAAATGCCAAGATTATTTTGTTCAAATGTGGCTGCCATTCTCCCCATTTTATATATGGGATAAAGGATAAACATTTAAAAACAAGTAGCACAGAATCACAATGAAGTTGTAACATCTCCCAGCTCAGTCCTGTGCTGCATTCACTCGCCTCAGTTTCCAAAGAAGTTTTTGATCTTTTAACTATTTATTAACATGCTTTGCTGAATGATTATAGATTTAATTTTCAATCATAGTTAAATGTATATATTCTTACTTGTCTCTCAAGGGGACTTAAGAGTTTGTGGATTTTTGTATGAAAATTTGAAGAAACCTTGAAGAAAGCACTCTCAAGGTTTCCTATGTCCCAAGACAAGTATTCATTTTACTAGGTCATAAATTATGTGAAATCTGTTATTAAAAAAACACTGTGCCCTCAGGTGAAGCATATAATATTTTCAGTGCTAGCTGTAAACAAGATAGGAAAAAAGAACCTTTTAGGCGATGTTTAGCTCCAATTTCCAGCTAGTCATAGGATCAGTTTCACAAGTGTTTTCTGTCTAACTGAACAAGTATACCACATCCTGTCATACAGGTTCTAACATTTGTTTGAGTTGCCAACATTTGTCAACTGAAAAGGATTTAAGAACTTTCCCATTAATAATTATAAATAAATCACAGCATACACTTCTCTATATAGCAATTCAAAAGAGGAATTGATGTGCATTACAATTAAATACACAGAAATGAAAATATTACCTCTCCTCCTGTGTAAACCCTCTAGATCACTGGTCTTCTTAAGCTTCTTCTTGGCACTGACTAGCTGACTGCTGTCAAACAGATGTGCTGTTGGGACACTGGAAGAGTTCTGGATTCCCTTCTCCTCACTCTGATGTTTAACAAAGCTGTTACTTTTCTCTAAGGATTTGGTGTCATCTTCCTTGGAGGGCAGAGGTGGAAGCAGAGGTGGAGGTGGTGGAGGCAAAGGGGGTGGAAACGGTACTACGGTAACAGTCTCTGGTTGAAGCTCATTACTGGAGAGTGGAGAAGTACTAACATGAGGCAGTTCAGAGGTAACACTGTTGGGAGGTAACAAGATATCCTGAAGTTGTTCTAAGCTTGTGGATTCCTGCACTTGCAAAGGCCGAAATGCATTTTCCAATTCCACCTCTTCACTTTTCTCTTGGATTTGTATGGTTGCTGGCAAAGATTGAGGCTGATCTACACAGGACACTGAGCTGGCTGCACATTTTCTTCTTGCATGAGCCAGTCGTACTCTGGTTGATTTAAGTATTACTTGCCCAGGATACCGCTAAAGTGAAGAAGTTATTTACAATTAGATAAGTACATGCAACACACTATTTTAGACACTAAGTACTTGTCATTAGGGTTTGCCTTTCTGACAAGTAGAATTCGTCTACTATTTTAATGAATTTTGCTCTGGGCATAAAAACAAAGCAAACATATCCTCACCTTTATGCAAAAATGATCAGTTTTCTTAATTTTTATTCTTGGTTAAGCCATAATTTACATGTGATTGATCTAGTCAGGGATACACATGGGTGGGTTAGAATTTCACTAAGAACCAGATTGTACATTCAAAATGTTTTTTTCTGAAAACTAAAATTCAAAATTCCCTCTTGCTTCCCTTTTCTAAAACTGGTCTGTGGCACTCTGCAGCAAAGTCCTCTCTGACCTAATATGCTGGCCTTAGATGTGAATCATACTGCTTAAAAAAGTCTCTCTTCAAAATATCATACATTTTGAGAATTTCCAAAGTGTTTTTAATTTAGTTCTTAAATTTGCTGCTTCAGTATCTGTCTTTTTCAAATTAGCTTCATCCCTAGCCATTTTTATGCAAAAGTAAAAACTGCTTCTGAAATGCAGGTCTAAAACATTTTAGACAATTGTGGCAGGACTAAAGCAATATAAATCATATCAATATAAATGTGCTCATACATAAAGTCAGTTCATTAACAGGTGCTGGTTAAAATAAGTAAATTTGCTTTAATTTACAGAAGCTATGCAATTCAAAAGCCTTGCAAATAATAAGGATATGAAGAGTGTACTGCTAAGACAGCTTTCCAGTAAAGAAACTTCTCATCTATTTTTTTAATGTATTCAGCAAAACAAAACAAAACAAAGTCTTCACCAATTAATACAGTGTCTGTTTTCCTCTGTTTTCTTGCACTTTCATCCCTCTCCTTATTCTCTCCCCTTCATTCCATCTTCTATCCATTTTCTCATACTTACATTGTAATAGGAAGGGGCAGGTATTGGCAGGTGTTATTGCAATCAGTGGTAGTGAGGGTATGTCAGATGATAATACCATTTAGATTATACTTCTTTTCAGAAAGTATGCTATGTGTCTTGTCACAATGTGTGGATGTGACAACGAACAGAAGCTTATTACAACACTGGGAATGCAACGGCCAGAGAAACTCGCTACCACTGATGCCATATTTTGTTGTAAATTTTCCAAAGAACAGTTAACTATAAAATGACAGAGAATAGCTAATAGCATAGTATAGTTCAGGAATGAGTGAAAATTTCTTTTGCAAAAGAAATTGGTGGAAAAGAATAACTCCTCTTCTGTTACCTGTTTAAACGTGCGAAGTCTGTCCAGTGTTTTCTGTCGTTCCTGACTAACCCAGGAGCTCACTCTTTGCTCTTCATCTTGTAGTTGATCTCGCTTCTGAGAAAATATACAGAAAACATGTAAATATTACATCCAATGCTATGGTTAGCATAATTTAAAAAAACCCAAAAAACTGAATTAAAATAACTCCTCTACTAATTGTTAGGAATTACCTAACAATCTACTTCTCAAATAAACACATTTCTGACCTTCAAAACTTTGCCTTTGTCTTCCCCTTAAAAAAATATTATGCATTTCATGTTTTATAACCTTGATGAAATACAAAGCTCAATAAAGAAAGATTTCAATCTGGAGCTGGAGCACTTGAAGACTGGAACTTTTTACCTTGAAGATGATAAATAACTAGAGATGTAACAGAATATTATAATGCATATATTATCAGCTCCCAAGACCTAGCCCAGTATTTGAATATTCTTTAAGATAAAGTCTAACTATCACTAGATAAAGTCTAACACAACAGTCAGACTAGCTAGCCTATTCTCTGCGATGAGACTGTGCAGAGAATTGTGGAGCATACACAGCTGGAACTGCACGCTTTATACAACGCAATTCAAGTGATTTCTTTTGTAGAGAAAAGAAAAATAATGAACAAGCTTATTAAGATTCAAGAATAAATGTGTATGGTTTCTTTACTCATTTCAGCATATTTGACACTGTGTTCAGAGATGTCCAGAATCATCTATGTGCATGTGTTAACAAACTGCATGCAGCCTAACCCTAGCAGTAATCACTTAGCATTAATGAACTGTTTTATTTGCTTGGATTTAATGTCGTCCTAACACAGCTATATACTCCCCCTTACCAGCATAATGTGATACAGAAATCCATGGTCCAAAGGTCAAGGATACATACCATCTTTTTAAAACAGTTATCACTCTGAATGCTCTACTAATTAATGTATAATGAGGAATGCAAGCTATTAACTAAAGGCTAAACTCAACAGCAGAAAACTCAAACCTACTAGCTGAACAATATGGTGCATTTTGTATTCCTCCTCACTCCGGTGATGTTGCTGGATCTTTTCATTATGCTTTGCGATACAGATCTCCTGTAGAGACATAAAATATTATCTATAAAATATAAATTTCAAATATGAATTTACAGTGTATAATGTCACATTTAGCAAACAGCACTAAGAATTAGAAAAATAAAAATTACAAAGCCCATCTCAGACAAGCTAATTTAACCAAGCTAATTTAACTTACAATAAAAACATAAGATGGAAACAAAACCAAGACAAACCAACCTAAACCTATTACTTTTAACTGTCAAAAGAATATACACAAGTAACAGCTGCTTGAAAAGTTTATTTTACAGTACCAGTACAAAAGTGGCAAGAAATACTGATTTGTCAAATACTTCATAAAACTGTTGTGCAACTCCATGTATTTGTATACATGGATAACAACTATCAAATATACTACGTATTTCTGTTTAGGCAACTAGGTAGCTTCCCATTTGTGTCGGTTCATCTTTTGCATGTACAATTTGCAAGCACAAACATTAATAAAGTTCTTACAATTTTATGCATACACAAGCAGGTTCACTTATTATACTGAGTTCACATCTGTACTGTCTGATTTAAAAACAAGCATTTATTACATTGCCTGTGAATAAGAACAGGTTAAAAAGAAAACAGGAAATGTTACAATAGATGACAGGAAGAAGCATGACACTCAAAGTTAAGGTAGATTATATAAAAATAACTGAATTAAGTATCTGTCGCAAAGAAAAGGCATGTGCAGGAATTTATAGTAGCAAAGAGACAGACAAGATCATAGGACAATAGTGAGGGCAAGGAAATCAGACAGCATGGGCAATGAAATTAGGCCCAGTACAAGCACCAGACAGAACTAGAATAAGGTCAGACGTGCAGTTAGAAACAAGACTCATGGCTGTGTAAGAGGGGGCAGCGTTAGGAAACGGTTTGGAGTGTGACTGCAGCTAGAAGAACACCAAAGTGATGAGCTTTCCAGGCAGCAGTCAGCTTGACTTACTGGACAGGAGCTTTGCTGTCGCAAGCATTGCTTGGGGCAGCTGATGGAGTATCAGCCATCAAGCAAGATACTACAGTAGTGGCAGAAAGACACAAAAAACAAGGAGGGGAGGAATAAAAAAGCGCACAATTTTGGACACTGGGAACTGCAGAAAAAGCAGCACTCTCCTAAAAGCTATGGACATACTGTGATCAAGGTTCCTGTATAGGAAAGAAATACCATGCTGTCTTGAATGTTTCTAAAGAGTAAGACCATCAGTTTTGCTACTGTATACAGGTAACACTCCAACAAGAGCACAGGTTTCTGTAGAAACTGTCCCAGCTTCATCAGAGCGGTGCATGTGTATATCTATATATATCTAAACACTGCTGGGTTTTATGTTTGTTTGTGTGTTTTTTTCCCCTGATGAAAAGAGTTTAATACAGCTGGAAAAGTTAATCCATTTAATTTGCAACTGCAAAAGTACAAACTACTTAATTTCTACATTTCAAAGACACAGCAATAACTTTGGAACATTATTAGACAATCTGAAAGACTTTTTGTAATACTACCACTGATTTATCTTTATAGTTTATTCTCTATTTATGTATTAAGTTTGATTGAAAGACTATTTAACAAGACTATATGTTAGGTTTGGGTTGTTTTTTGCTTTTTTTTTTGTTTGGTTTGTTTTGTTTTTACAGGTTGGCAAGACTAAAGAAATAAAAAAAAAAGACTAATATGAAAATTAGAGGAATATACTCTCATAAATACTTGGGGGACACACTTTTCTGAAACACTTTCTCTTTAGCATCAATATTTAAATCTTTCTGATTAAGAGCAGTAATGAAATATACTTTAAGCATGTAAAGAAAGAGGTTAAACCAGACCAAAACATATTTGATGCTGACTTTCATAAAACCATTTAGGTTGGGAAAGACCTTTAAGATCATCAAGTCCAACCATTAACCTAATACTGCCAAGTCCCACTAAACCATGTCCCTAGGCACCACATCTACATTTTTTAAATACCTCCATGGATGGTGACTCAACCACTTCCTTGAGCAGTCTGTTCCAATGCCTGACAACACTTTCAGTGAAGAAATTTTTCCTAATATCCAATCTAAACCTCCCCTGGCGCAACTTGAGGCTGTTTCCTTTCGTCCTATTGCTTGTTACTTGGAAAAAGAGACCAACACCCACGTCGCCACAGCCCCCTTTCAGGTAGTTGTAGAGAGCGATAAGGTCTCCTCTCAGCCTCCTCTTCTCCAGACTAAACAACCCCAGTTCCCTCAGCCACTCCTCATAAGACTTTTTCTCTAGACCCTTCACCAGCTTCGTTGCTCTTCATTGGGCATGCTCCAGCATCTCAATGTCTTTCTTGTAGTGAGGGGCCCAAAAATTAACACAGTATTCAAGGTGCGGCCTCACCTGTGCTGAGTACAGGGGCACAATCACTTCCCTAGTCCTGCTGGCCACACTATTTCTGATACAATACTTCTTCGTACTAATAAAGAAACAACTTACTTTAATGTAATTAAATTTCTATGACTTCAAATAAAAAAGACTATGAGGGGCTGAAAACATGTTGCGGCACATCTGAATCATCTTAACTAATTACAGAAATGGTCAACCCCCCCCCCCACCAGGTTGCAATTTCATAGGGACAAATAGAGAGTTCTACCTGTAGACAAGATTAAGTGGCTGCAAGCAAAGGATGAAGACAAAATAGCTGGGTGGCAACATTAAAGAAAACGATATAGATGATTATGGCAGGTGACAAGCTGAACATAAACCAAAAATCTCATACTCCGGCAAAAAAGAAAACATCATAATTGGGTGTATGGGCAGAAATACAGCCTGCCACATATGTGAAGTAATCCTTCCTTCTCAGCACTGGGAAAGCAAGAGCATTATGTCCTGTTAGAGCCACACTTCAAGAAAGATGTTAACCAACTGTATAGAATTCAGAGAGCATCAAGAAGTAATGTTAATTTCTCTTTTAATCACCTGACTGATTTCTGTAGTATCAAATTGTACTTCTATGGAAAAGACAGAAAGGAAGAGCTGAGCAACCATTTCAACCCTCATCACTGGATACACTACCATGTTTAAGACTAGTAACATGTAATATACGTAAAAGAGATGTATTAGTATTACATTTAACTAGTTCAGTGAGCCTTGCTTTCAGATTGAAAAGCATCTCAAGTAAAATGTTAGCTTTTCATTTTTAGTAAGCTCAGTATGTGCAGAGAGCATATTTTATTAGGTGTTCTAAGTAGTTATGCCCTTATATAACAACAACAACAACAACATAAATGATCATACTAAGTAACCCCATGTCAGCTGTCACTGCAACTAATTAACACCTGTTTTGGCATGGGCTATGCTTTAAACTGTGGGCTTGAAAAGTAGTAAAGGTGTCCTATTAAACGGACACAACACATGAGGAAGCTTCCTAGGTTAAAGCACACATTATGAACATACCCCAAACAGTTTCACCGACCAGTTGCTTCTCCCAGTCTGCTCATGATAAGAAATACTTTTCCTGAACGTAAAATAATTCAATTTCTTCATAACTCTATTTTTTCAAAAATTTTTCTAGATGCCTTCTGCATCTTTTTTTTTTACATTGACTCTTTGCTATAAATTTAGCTCCCTAATAAAACAGCTGTTTGTTTCATACAATAACCTAATTAATACTACAGTACAGCCAGTAGAGGCTACACTAGGAAAACAATAGAGATATTATGTATGAAAAATCCATAACTAGCTTTCAAGAAATAAGAAAAATAATGAGACTGCTATTAAAATTTTATTTTTTAATAACTAAGTCATCAACAGAAAGGAACATCAGGAAACAATTGCGTAACAAATGCATATAGGTTTGTATAAAAAAAAAGAGAATATAGAGTTATACTCATGTTAGTACAGTGAAAGAACATCAACCTCAGTAAAACCATACATTTAAAAAATGCTGGCTCAGTAACTGTCCTGGTTTCAGCTGGGATAGAGTTAATTTTCTTCATAGAAACTAGTGTGAGGCTATGTTTTGGATTTGTGATCAAAAAATGTTGATAACGTACTTACGTTTTGAGTTGTTGCTAAGCAGTTAAGGACTGTCCAGCTTTTCATGCTGGCCTGCCAGCAAGAAGGCTGGGAGTGCAAGGGAAGCTGGGAGGGGACACAGCCAGGACAGCTGACCCAAACTGGCCAAAGGGATATTCCATAACATATGACATAATGCTCGGTATATAAAGCTGGGGGAAGAAGAAGGAAGGGGAGGAGGGACGTTCGGAGTTACGGCATCTGTCTTCCCAAGAAACCATTACACGTGATGGAGCCCTGCTTCCCTGGAGATGGCTGAACACTTGCCTACCGATGGGAAGTACTGAATGAATTCCTTGTTTTGCTCTGCTTGAGTGTGCGGCTTTTGCTTTACCTATTAAACTGTCTTTATCTCAAACCATGAGTTTTCTCACTGTTACTCTTCAATTCTCTCCCCCGTCCCACCGTGGGGGAGTGAGCGAGCGGCTGCGTGGTGCTTAGTTGCTGGCTGGGGTTAAACCATGGCAATAACTCAGAATCACTTTCTAACAAACCTTTAGCAAAAGCTTCTAAATAAAGGATTGGTACAATTATTTGATGACATTATTAAAAAATAAAAGCATCAACGGCAAAAACAGGGAACAAATTTCTGAAAGAAATGAATAGACTATAGTCACATAAGTTTATATTTACATTACATAAAATCTTATTCTACACACAGTAACTGATTCCTTTTCACTGCGGTATCTCCTCAATAGACAAGATTTTCAAATACCCAGATGATAAAACTACCTCCTCCAAAAAACAAAAAACAACAACAGAGAATTATTTCCTATTGTTTTCTTAATTATGATATCTGCTGCTAGAATGGAGGTGTCCTCCTAAGGGAATTTTCAGTTGCCAGGAGGAGGAGTAGTGGTGGTGTCAGGAACAGAATCTGAAAATTATTAAGCAGACTCTCATCTCAGTTCAGCAATAAATGTTTCTTAATTGAGATAAACAGACCAACCAACCTTCAGGAAGA